AATTATTGGGTACTTGGACCCTCTGGGTCAGCTTCGCGATGTGGGAATTTCCATAAATCGGAACGCCAAAGTATAGACTGACGGTCACTACGATCCTCATTATCCCTAAGGGTCCAAGGACCCAAATCATAGGGTTTTAGGGCCCAAATACTGTACTATCAATGGTATTTGGGCCCTAAAACCCTATCTTTGGGGTCCTTGGACCCTCAAGGTATGGGGGGCCCAAGAAAGGGACCCCCAATTTTCGGCAACTCCAATGTGAGTGAGCATGCATCCAGACCTTTCAGCTGTCACAGAAGATCACACGAAACCTTAATAAACGCTGGCGCGCACCACACGGACTTAGTAAGTCTACTTGCTAACAGGGGTCATGGGGCTTACAGTAAGGAATATTGTGGGTGGGGGGCGGAGGAAACCCTGACACGTATCATAAGGGTTCTTGGAGATGGTAGGTAGGCTTGTCAAAAGATAATCCAAGAACCCCATTCAAATCCGGAGTTCTGCTGGGGATGTAACTCAATTCCTGGCTTACCGTGCTCAAGGCTCTCCATTGTGCACGTGGTTCAGGGTTTACAGCACAGGTCTTGGGGTTTAGGGTCCCTGAACCCTGGACCCTAAACGGTATAAAGCCAAACCCTATAGAGTCCAGTGTAGGGAACATGTCTCCTAGCATGGACCGGGCATATCCAGCCTCAAGGCCTTGAGTGCAACAAATCTCTGCCAAGCTTTGGTTACAGCCCTAAACCCTTTAGGGTTTAGGGTTTGGGGGTTCAGGGCTACACCTTGAGTATTAGGGTTTAGGGTTTAGGAACCTTTTAGCGTCTAGGTTTGGCGTTTAGGGCTACACCTTGAACTTCGAACACTACATCCTTGCGACATCCTCAAAATCCTAAACCCTCCACCCTACATCCTGCATGCCTGAACCCTACATACTCAAAATACCAAAATCTACCCATCCCTATACATCCCCATATGTCCCTATGTAACCCCTTAGAACCCTTAAGACCTACATCACTAAACCCTAAACCTTACCTGTGTACTTCTCCGAGGACCAAGGATAAAACCATGATGGTATCAGGTACCAAAAAGACTGTAAACCCTTAAACTTAGGTCAATCCCCCACCCAGTAATGGGTACCACAAGGGACTATTGCAGACATGTTAAAGCCCTACTAACTCCTTATTAAGGAGCTATTGCTAGAGGGGGGGATTGACCTAACCTAAAGCCCTCAAACCCCTAAACCTTGAAACCCCAAACCCTACACCCTTAACCCCTAAACCTTGAAACCCTAA